AAAGGGGGGGGGGGGTGTGATGAATCTGTGTTATAAGAACTCTGCTAGTACTTTGGTACATAGTATTTGGTACATAAAATCAATTTCTAAGACCCAAAAGTCCTATAAAAAGATAAATACCTGCCACATTAACAGTAGACAATGTCATGTGGATGGGGGCTTTTCAGTCTCAACCCTTTAAGTCGCTACTTAAGATAATTTAATTTGGACCCTGAATTATATTTATTTTAATGATTTTATCCTCTCTCCACCAAAGGTGCTCAAGGAGGTTTATGCAGAATAAAAGCAATGTAAATATTTTTAGATAACGGCAAAAAAATCATGTAACATCGACACAATCATTCAAAAGCTTGGGTAAGTGAACACAGGCCATCTCTGTACATAAAGAGATAATAGCTACATCCACCTTAATCATGTCTGTAACAGACACGCCAACCCCTCCGGGTCAACCGTGCTGATTCAAGGAACAGGCTGCACAACACAAGTACAAATTACTCAAGGAAATCTAAAACCGCCTTAAGCATAAGGTAGTCTGCCACCAGGTCCTTTAGTGGTTCCCAAAAGCTCTGGAATAAAAGACCAAACTTCCAGACTGGCTATGGAACGGAGGAGGAGGAGGAGGAGGAGGAGGAGGAGGAGGAGGAGATGATGATGATTGGATTTATACCCCGCCCTTTACTTGGAGTCTCAGAGCAGCTTACAAACTCCTTTCCCTTCCCCCTCCCCACAACAGACACCCTGTGAGGTGGGTGGGGCTGAGAGAACTCTGACACAAACTGCTCTTTTTCAAGGACAGCTGTGACTGACCCAAGTTTACATCAGCAGGTGCAAGTGGAGGAGTGGGGAATCAAACCCGGTTCTCCCAGATTAGAGTCCGCCCACTTAGCCACTACACCAAACAGGAGCTGCTAAGGGTTCCTCCCCCATGAGTATTGCAGGTCACCATTTATTATTATTTGTTTAGATGTTTATACCTGACTTTTCCTTCCAGTGGGAACTCAAAGCGACTTACAACATTGTTCTCTCCATCTCCATTTTATCCTTTCAACAACCTTGTGAGGTAAATTAGGCCCAAGCCTACCCAGGATGCACACACAGCGGATTGGTGATTTGAACCAGGGTTGGCCAGATCATACTCCAACACTAACCTAGCTTCTATTTATCTCCAGGTTTGATCTTCCCTAAAGAAGAAAGGTAGTTCCGTATTAGCTGGCCCAGACTCTGGCAATCAGTCAGTGAGCCCAATCTACCTCTCCATCATCACATTCTCCCAAGACAGGATATGTATTTGAGAGGGTATGGGGGCAATCTCCTTTCCGTCTCCTTGTGCTTCCACCACCACCAGGCCCCTGGGTGGGGGGGGGGGGGGGGTTGGGGGGGGCAGCGCACTGCAGACATATCACCCCTCCACTTAAGCCCCAGGAACTGGCTTCAAGAGTGTTGAGCAGGTTTGATTGCTCTTCAGCACACTCTCTGAGCATGCTGGTTGATTTCCCTCCTACTACGAGTTGCTTTGCTGGGGAGTGAGGAGACATTTAGATTGGGAATGTGGTGTAGGCGAGAGAGAACGTGAGCAACTATAGTTATTACAGAAACAAATCTGTTAGCTCTAAAACTCACACAACCATCAAAAAGGCAGACTTACCGAGGTTTTAATAAAATCCTGGTTCTTCAGGTTTTCCAGTAACCGCTGACTCTGAATGGAAAGAGAAAATTTTAATAGAGGAGGAAGGCGGTACACACAAAGTAGAGCAAGGAAGTGAACAAACCAGAATCAAACTGATGTGCAAACTAGCATATGCATCACCATGAAACAAATCTGTTAGCTCTAAAACTCACACAACCATCAAAAAGGCAGACTTACCGAGGTTTTAATAAAATCCTGGTTCTTCAGGTTTTCCAGTAACCGCTGACTCTGAATGGAAAGAGAAAATTTGAATAGAGGAGGAAGGTGGTACACACAAAGTAGAGCAAAGAAATGAACAAACCAGAATCAAACTAGCATATGCATCATCACTCCTGATACAGGAAGAGAGACACTCTCCACCAGATAATGTGGCTGGACTTGGACCTGGGTTCAGGTGGTCTCACTCTCCATCACTGATACCCTCTTGGGCATCACCTTTCTTTCCACCTTAAATCTCTAAACTGGCAACAGCAGCAGTAAGCCCAGAAAGCTGTTGTGAGGACAAAAAAGCAAGACCCTAAAAACTACTTAAGCACTTTAAAAAGAAAAAAGTTTGTAACATCAACTATTAGTGTGAGTTTTAATTTAAACGCACTTGAAGTAATGGTGAAGTCTTCCTGTTCTGAGCACATAAAACGGCTTCTTTCTTTGCCCACCCCTTATCTGCTGCAATAGGCTGTCCCAATCTCCCAGTACAGAAAAACTACTATGGCAGTGTCCTGTAAAAGCTCTCCAAATGGCCTTTGCTGGAAAGCAGTCAATTAAAAAGCAGCAACAATGGAGATTCCTAAGTATCAATTTACTTTCATCCCATGTTCTTAGAGCAAGGTCTTGAACAAGAAAACGGAAAAACTTAAATAAAACTCATGTCTAAAAACTCCTCCTTTTGACATTTTTCTCTAGCCTCTAGAAATCGAGCAACAAAATAAGTACATTTGGAATCAGAATCTTCTAAGAGGAACTAAACCTTTTGCTTTAATGGCACTAGAGGATGCACAGTCTATTTGTCAAGGCATGGTATAATCCATTTTAGCCTAAACTGGAGCACATAAGGACACTGCAGGAGAATATGTACAAGAAAGTCCACTGACGGGAGGGGGCAGGGACATAACCGATTTGAAAAAGGGATCCTTAGGAGACGACCCAGCAATACCACTGAAAATGGGCAGTTGAATCATGAATGCATAAAGGTCCTACATTACTTTGGGCTAACCAAATAATCCAAATAAGAAGGGAGTTCACCCTTAGACAGAAGAGCTAAGGCAAATGGAGAACATGTCCTCCAAACATCAAAACGTGTTTTTTGCATTGATTTACAGAGGAAGAAAAAAGACCCTCCACCTCAAGTTTTACAAGAGATAAGTTCTGTTCAAAAAGCTGGAGCCAGGTAGCCCTATAAGGGTCCCTGAGAGTTAGGTTTACCGAGCCACCCTCAGGGGCCTCAAAAAATAGATGAAACCAAAAAATAAAGGCATGTACCCAGGTGCAGGCTTCTATAGAGCTAAGACCAAATTCATAACAAAGGTCCACTGATGAAATGCACGTAGGAAGCCCTCCAATTGCCTGAAGGAACAAAGACCACACTCTGTTTATAGAATCTTCTACCGAAGAAATCCATATAGGGACACTATACAAAAGTTGTGAAATCACCACTGAGTTAAAAACTCTAACAGCAGCTGGGATATAATGTGCCCCAATAGAAAAAAAGAAACACAAAATTGCCTTAGACTTCTGAGTGACTAATTGTTTATGACATCTCCAGGACAAGGCAGACTGAAATAAAATACCCAAATACCTAACACGGGAAACCTGCAAGATCTTCCGCCCATTAACTATCCACGTCTCTCCTTTGTTTGAAGAGTGAGGCACAAGTTTCATAATTTTAGTTTTAGTAAAATTAATAGATAATTCCTCATGCAGACTATTTTCAAAGCCTAAAAAAGACTGACTCAGGTTTGGGAAAGTAAAACAAATCAATTGTATAAAGTAAAAGAGGGACTGCAATCCCCAGTAATTTAGGTGAGTGCAGAAAAGGATCAGTAAAAAAAACCTGGCAAATCAGGCAAATACAAGCTAAACAACGATGGTGCTAGAAGGTACCCCTGTCAAAAAAAAACCAAAACAAAAACCTAAATGATGGGGAAGGGAACAGTTCAGTGACCCTCACTATTACACTGCACTTGGGAAGTAGAATCAGTATAGAGATTTTAATTTAACCACAACAATCTCCCGTCAATTGTGGTTTGCTTCAATTTAGCCCGTAGATGGTGTCATGATCTGGGCTGTGCCACCAGAGGCCTACTAGGCCCAGGGAGCCTGGCTAGCAGTAGGGGAGGCTGGGCCTACAAACTCCAGAAGGCCTTGGGAAGTTTTGGCGCCGATTTTGACCAATAGGGAAGAAGAGGGCTGGGGAATAAGAGAACTGGTACAAGAGGAAAAGCTGTTCTTCTTCCCAGGGAACAGGGCCATAAGAGAGGCTGTTGTGGGGAAGAAACCCTCATCCTGAGGGAAGGATGAGTAGTCTAAGGCCACTTGAAATAGTGAGCTGTGGACAGTATATATTTAGATGCGTTAGGGCATTTGATTTCTTTTCTTTTCACCCACTTACTGTTATTATTCTGCACCTTGTTCGTTTGACCTCCTATAAAATAAACTATTTTCATTGTTCACTCTGCCTGGTCCTCACGCTCATTTCAGCTAAAAGGGAGGTCTAAAGGCTTGGGAGGGTGCTCTGGGCCTTCTCAAAGGAGCCTGGAACCAGAGTGGTGGCAGCATCAGGTGACACCCCACCTGAGCCGTAACAGACGGTTTCCAGATATGGAATCAAATGCATAGGAAAGGTCTAGGAAGGCCTATGAAAAGTCCTTGAACTGGCACACTTACTAATCAAGTGAAATAACACTGACAGCGTTCGAGAGTACTATGTCCCTTATGAAATCCCACCTGTTCTGGGCCAATGATCTTAGAATCAACCATCCAAGACTGAAGCATGCTCAGAAGAAATGCTGCATAGATCTTACCTACAACTGATAACAAACTAATGGGTTGATAGTTCTTAGGGGGAATCACACCACACTAATGGGTTGATAGTTCTTAGGGGGGATCACACATCACTCTAGTAAAAAGATTAGCCAAAAGAGGCACCCCCAGTCCATGTTATTAATAATAAATTCTGCTGGAATACCCACTATCTCTGAACATAGGACTGGTTGCCATTCTGGAAGATCAAGAGACATTGTGGCACCTAGATTATCATCATTTTTTGACTTAGAATACATTGATGAAAAAAGTGATACGCAAATCTGAGCAGTAATAACATGAGAGAGACTACCTCTAGTTTTTAAAGAAGAGGAAACAATCAACCACTACCACCAAAGAGGCTGTGATCCCAAAGACCACTATCCTGACCATGGTGATGGGTGGAGGCATGGGCACCCAGTCGTGGTCCTACTTCCCTACCTGTACAGAAGAGAGCTGGGCAATAACTCCCGACCCCAGAATGGTTTCCTATGGATGGCGGTATGGCAGTGCCTATCCTGAGGATTACAGGAGGGAGTACAGGAGACCCCTCAAGATTGAAGATGCCCAGTTGGAGTGGGTGTGGCGCAAACTCCAAGGGCAGACCGAAGAGCTGCACTGGGAGATGCGAGAGATGATGCTGGATCTGCCCCGACCAGCAACAGGTGCTGGCCCAGGATCAAGCAGGGCTGGTCCTCATGGGACCCCCAGCACCATCGGGGGGGGCAGGCGACCAGCCTCCAGCCATGCTGCCGGAACCCCCAGCACCAGCTGCGCCCATGCCTGATCACGAGAGGCACTGAGAGATGCTAGATGCTACTTTCGATGGCAACTCTGACAAGCTAGCTTTCTGCCTGGTACAAATCCACAAGTTTCTGTGAGACTGGGGCTCCACGGTCGCAACAGACAAGCACAGAGTGGACTACATCAGCTTGCGACTGAGGGACAGGGCAGCCGATTGGCACATGGGGCTCCACAAGATTAGAGGCTCTGAACTTTGGGATGTGACAGCCTTTATGTGGGCACTGAGGCAGCAGTATGAAGACCTGCTGGAGCTGGAAAAAGCACGGTCCCGCTTACGGCCTCTGAAGCAAGGCAACTGGTCGGTATGCGAGTTTTCAGATGAGTTCAAGATGCATGTTGCCAAGATACAGGGATGACCTGAAGAGGTCCTGATTGAACAATATCGGACCGGCCTCAACCACGTGATTCTGGAGATGGTTCCAGGATCCGGGAACCCGTTAACCCTAGCTGGCTGGATACGTGAATCCAGTGACGCTGAGAACTGGCTCAACACGATTGAGATGTACCTGCCCAAGTCAGCCCTGAAGACTCAAGGAGGCAAAGCGAAAGGCCAGTGCTCCAAGATGAAGGAATCCATGTGCGACTGGCATATGAAGCAAGGAGTGTGTCTGCGCTGCGGAGAACCAGACCACTACGCTGCCTTCTGCTCAGCCAACCTGACACCCCCTGGGGGGAGAGCGCCTGAAAAACGTAGCTCTGATATGCCGGTGAAGCCTGGGAGAGTGAGACACAAGCAGCAGAGGGCTCTCCGGTTGAACACAGCTCCTGACAGTGGAGACAATGCCACCCAGCCGATGGGAAAAGGCTGGGACCTGCTGTAAAAGGCGCAACCCAGCAGGTCCAAAAGCCAGCGGCGCCATGTTTGGTGAGCAACACCACTCCCTTGTTTCTCATGACTGTGTCCATTATAAACCCAGAGATGGGTACCCAAGTGAGGGTGAGGTCTCTAGTTGACTCTGGGTATATGAGAGACTTAATTAGCCCTGCCAAAGTTACGGGGTTGGTGGTCCCTGTGCAAACCCTTCCTAAGCCACTCATCTTTACTCAAATGGATAGTCCCACTATGAAGGAAGCCTGTAAATACCAGATTGTACCGGTGATAATGGAGACAGGGCGCCACTGGGAGCAACGGCCATTAGTGATCAACCTGATGGCCTGATTTTCTACGGTGCTAGGGAATCCCTGGCTAAGAGACCATGACCCTTATATCCAGTGGAGTGCATTACATTTCCCCAACTCCAAATGTGATGATAATGTGTGGAAAGCTGAGTGGAGAGAAGCGCCTACCGCTTTACCGGAGCGGGCGTGCTTGGCTCAGTAGGACCTCTACTCAATCCCGGCAGAGTACAGAGACCTAGCCCAGGTATTTGAGGAAGACAAAGCAGACAAACTCCCACACACACATCGTAATGCAGACTGTGCCATTGAAATTTTACCAGGGCATAAAATGCCAAAAGGAAAATTGTATGCTATGAGCCCCGCTGAGAAAGAGCAATTGCGTTCGTTTGTTGACAAAAACCTAGCCCATGGGTTCATCCAGCCTGCCTTCTTGCTCTTTGCAGCTCCCGTCCTCTTCCAGAAGAAAGATGGGGGGTTGAGGCTGTGTACGGATTATCAAGGCTTAAATGCTGTCTCTACCACTAATGCATACCCCCTCCCATTGATTAATGACCTCTTGGCTGAAGCCACAAGGGGTAAAATTTTCTCCAAGTTGGATCTAAGAGACGCTTACTTTTAGGTGCGCATCCGGGAAGGGGATGAACATAAGACAGCCTTCAATACTCGTTTGGGCCAGTTTGAATACCTGGTTATGCCCCTCGGATTGGCCGGAGCCCCGGGGGTGGTCATGAACTTAATAAATGAAGTGTTGCACAAGCATCTGTTCAAAGGGGTTTTGGTTTATCTTGATGATATCCTGATTTATTCACAAGATAAGGACTCACATGTGACTTTGGTGAGGGAGGTTCTGGAAATGCTGTATGAACACCGCCTTTTTGCTAAGATCTCTAAATGTGAGTTCCATAAAGAGGAAGTGGACTTTTTGGGCTACTGTATCTCGGGGAAGGGATTGGGAATGGACCTGCAGAAAGTGACTGATGTGCTGGGGTGGGAGGCCCCACGCACCCAGAGATAACTCTAATCCTTCTTGGGTTCGTGAATTTCTACCGTCCATTCACCCCCAATTTTGCCCAAGTGAGCCTGTCCCTCACTGATTTATTAAAAACTAAGGGGAAGGGGCAGGAGAACACTAAACCGAGTGCCAAATTAAATTGGATTCCAGAGTGCCAACAGGCTTTTGACAGACTCAAAGAGCTGTTTACGTCAGAGCCTATTTTACATAATCTAGATGAAAATAAACTTTTTGTGGTTCAGGTGGACGCATCAGATGTTCCTGCAGAAGGGAGAAGACGGGAAACTCCACCCCCTAGCCTACATGTCTAAAAAATTCAACTCCACTGAACGTAACTGGGCGGTTTGGAATAAGGAAGCAGCAGCCATTAAACTGGCCCTTCCTACTTGGCGTCATTGGTTGGAGGGAGCTCAGGTGCTGTTAGAAGTGTGGACAGATCATAAAAATTTAGAGGCGCTACTCAACCCCCCCCGTAACCTGAATGCCAAACAGCTCCGATGGGTGGAGTTTTTCTCTAAATTTCGTTTCACCCTCCAACACCTCCCTGGCAAATCAAATTTCCTTGCTGATGCACTCTCACGCCTTCATCAACATGCCAGTTAACGGGAAGAGGTGGTGGACTCCATGTTCACCCCCTCCCAACTGGGAGGCGCAGTGATGATGCACAGTCACGCGAAGGCAGAACCAAACGGGGAGGGGGAACCGTAGGCTGCCAAGTTTAAAGCTGCCTTCACAGGCAGTGACAGGGAGGAAGTTACTAAAGACCCCTCTATCCAACAAAAACCAGATGGATGTTGGTATCGGGGGCGGGGGGAAGCTGTTTGTGCCACAAGCCTTGTGGGCTGAGGTTTTACATTTTGGGCACGGATCTAAATTGGTTGGTCATTAAAAACCAACCGTCTCTTGCAACAGAAATTTTGGTGGCCGTGCATGCGGGCTGACATTTCCCAGTACGTGGGATCCTGCCAAACTTGTTTAATGAGTATTTGGAGTCCGTGGAAACCGGCAGGAACCCTGTTTTTGTTGTTGTTCAGTCGCACAGTCGAGTCCGACTTTTTGCGACCCCATGGACCACAGCATGCCAGGCCCTCCTGTCTTCCGTTGTGCTCTAGAGTTTGCTTAATTCATATTCGTTGCATCGATAACAGTGCCTAACCATCTCATCCTTTGCTGTCCCCCTCTTCTTTGACCTTCAATCTTTCCCAGCGTCCGGGTCTTCTCCAGTGAGTGCTCCCATCTCATTTGGTGGCCAAAGTATTTGAGCTTCAGTTTCATTATCTGGCCTTCCAGGGAACAGTCAGGGTTGATTTCTTTTAGGATTGACCGATTTGATCTCCTGGCAGTCCAAGGGACTCACAAGAGTCTTCTCCAGCACCATAATTCAAAAAAATCTATTCTTCGGCACTCGGCCTTCCTTATAGTCCAACTCTCGCAGCCAAGCATTACTACTGGGAATACCATTGCTTTGACCATACAGACTTTTGTTGTCAGGGTGATGTCTCTTACTTTTTATTATGCTGTCTAGGTTTGCCATTGCTTTCCTCCCAAGGAGCACACATCTTTTAATTTCATGGCTGCAGTCACCGTCCGTAGTGATCTGGGATCCCAGGAACGTGAAGTCTGTCACTGCTTCCACGATTTCCCCTTCGATTTGCCAAGGAGTGATGGGGCCGGATGCCAAGATCTTAAGTTTTTTTGATGTTGAGTTTCAAGCCAACTTTTGCGCTCTCCTCTTTCACTCTGACCAAGAGGCTCTTTAGGTCCTCTTCACTTTCTGCCATTAGAGTGGTATCGTCTGCATATTTGAGGTTGTTGATGTTTTTCCCAGCAAACTTAATTCCGGCTTGTGATTCATCTAGGCCGGCATTTCGCATGATGTACTCTGCATATAAATTAAATAAGCAAGGTGACAATATACATCACTGTCGCTTCTTGACCCTTATACAGGTTTCTCAAGAGACATGTGAGGTGGTCTGGTACTCCCATCTCTTTAAGGATTTGCCACAGTTTGTTCGGATTCACACAATCAAAGGTTTTAGTACAGTCAATGAACCAGAAGTAGATGTTTTTCTGGTACTCTCTGGCTTTCTCCATAATCCAGCGAATGTTGGCAATTTGATCTCTCGTTCCTCTACCTCTTCGAAACCCAGCTTGTACTTCTGGCAGTTGTCTATCCACATACTGCTGAAGCCTAGCTTGTAGGATCCTGAGCGTGACCTTGCTGACGTGAGAAATGAGTGCAATTGTGCGATAGTTTGAACATTCCTTAGGCCCCTGTAAACACCCCGTTGACCCCGGGAAGTCATTTCCATGGACTTTATAACAGTTTTACCCAGTAAGGGGAAAACAGTGATTTGGGTGGTTGTGGACTTATTCTCTAAACAGGCCCATTTCATTCCATGCAAACAACTACCAACCGCAAAGGCACTGGCTGAGATGTTCATGCATCACGTGGTGAGACTGCATTCCACCACCAAATAAAATAATATCCAACTGAGGTGCCCAGTTCGTTGGTAAGTTTTGGAAAGAGCTCCTACAGGTTTTGGGCATTGAACGGGGACTCCGTAGAGCTCATCATGAGACTGATGAACAAACTGAACGTGTCAATCAAATAGTGGAACAGGTTCTTCGTTGCTTTTTCAATTATCAACAAGACAATTGGGCTGAGTTGCTGCCCTATGCAGAGTATAGTTACAATAATTCTGTGCATAGCTCCACAGGGCTATCTCCCTTGAAGGCGATGCATGGGTATGAAGGGCCCCTTTGCCTACTATGGTTACTCCTGTGCCAACTTCTGGAGACCTTCGCACTTGGGGGCAAGGCCTTAAGGACTAGTGGTCTGCCATCCAAAAAACCCTAGACAAAGCCAAAGCGGATTACAAAGCCCAGGCTAAGGGATCTGCTCCTGAATGGGATAAGTGTACTTATCCACCAAAAACCTGAAGGGACTCCAGCCTAGGAGGAAGTTGGGCTGGAAATATGTTGGTCCCTTCAAAGTTTTGCGCAAAATGCACTGGAAAACCAATAGTTAGAACAAAATTTCAACTGTTTCAAATTAAAACAAAACAAAAGCCCTGCACTTTACAAGCTAATTAATAACAGGTTAACAATCAAAACTCCCTCTAAGCCTTTTCATCTACTCAACTTTCACACCACTCCAACCCCACCCAAACAAGGGAGGGAGAGAAGATTTTGGCACTGAGTCTATTAAACAAAAGAAGAGGGAGAGTGGTAAAGACTAAAAACTAAGTAAGCTAAACTGAACAGAGAACAAAAGACAAAAAACTAAGATAAAATAGAATAAAATAAAAATTAAATGCCCCAAGGACAGAGTACAGCCTTGTAGTGTCCTACTGCGTCGGAGCCAGAAAACCCCTAAGAATCAATCTAGTTATTAAAGGCAGATCATGTCACAGGCCTTCTTGCCCTGGCAGCTCTTTCAGCAGTAATTGGTAAGACCTGCCAAACATGACCCATTTGGACCTATTGGCTTGTGTCAGGTACCATATAAATAGCTATGTTTTGTGACCTTAACAATGACTTACATTCACATGGCCACCATCCCAGCCCCATGCTATCTTGGGATCTATGCATCAACCAGAGGCATGCACAGCTACTGTGACCGAGAATGGTATTAAGTGTTCTCTTGCCACTGTGTACTTTGAGCAATTAACTTACGGAATTCATTGCCGTGAGATGTAACAACCAGACTTTGAAATGAAATTAAGGCATGAAAGACAGGTCTATTGATGGCACCATGGGAGGGACGCAGTCTGTTGCCTTCACATACTGACTATGAGGTTCTCAGGAGCATTTGGTCACCAATGAAGATTAGGGCTACCCTACTCTGCAACTTGAGGAGCTGCGGTGGCTCAAGTGGTTAAGACGCTGAACTGCAGGCTGTGGAAGGTCGGTAGTTCAGTAGTTCGAGACCCATGTGCCGCATGATGGAGTGAGCTCCCATCTCTAGTTCCAGCTCCTGCCAACCTAGCAGTTCGAAAGCAAGAAATTGCAAGTAGATAAATAGGTACCACTTCAGTGGGAAGGTAACAGTGTTCCGTGCGCCTTGGTGTTTAGTCATGCCGCCACATGACCACGGAAACATCTTCAGACAGCGCTGGCTCTTCGGCTTTGAAACGGAAATGAGCACCGCAACCCTAGAGTCGGATTCGACTGGCTTTTGAGCAAGGGAACCTTTTACTTACTCTGCAACTTATGGCAACCAGAGAGATCAACCAACACAAAAATCCCCAACTCCTTACCAACTGAGATGCATGTTTTATTCTTTCGACAATCCCATCATGTCCGAGGTATTGCAAAGAGAGCCACAGAGGCAAGGCACGAAGCTTCTCTACTGCTTGACTGGTGGTCAGACCTGCAGCCAAGGACTGGAGGGGAAAAAAAATAATACTTGACTAGCTATTCATTTTATTATTTTAAAGCGACATACTCAGCCTTTTGCTCAAATGAGCTCCAGTAGATTAAAGTAATACAAAACAAAGGTATCAAACCATTAAGACAAAGATGGTCAAGACCTAAATAGCCTGAACAAACAAAACAGCTTTTACCTGGAACTGAAAACAAAGTAATGCAGTCACTAGATAAATTTGTTCCATGATTGAGGAGCCAAAGCAAAAGAGGCCTTGTTCCCAACAGCTACCTACCTTTTGAAGGACAGTTACAATTTACAGTTTGCCTTTGTTACGCCCCCTTACACTAAAAATCCACTTGAAACGGGAGGGGCAAAAGCCCCACTGCATTCCAACAGTTTAAAAGCTCAAACACTGCTTCTCATGTCACTGCTGTTTAATACTGATCACTAAAACATATCTAAATAGAGGCTACTAGTACTAATTTCCCCAGAAAACATTGTTCTGATAGTGCAGTGGTGCAAAGCAAAAGACGCTATTTTGTAAACCAAATTCTATTGTCCACGAGATCAGAACTCAAATCTTTTTGTGCTCAAGAAATACAAAGTATATACAGCAAGCTCCCATGTAACCAAGGACTTAGGCAGTTGCTTTAGCATTGGGAGTAGAGACAAGCAAACTATCTTTGGCTAATTCAGAATTTACAAACTTTCAGAACTCTCACTCAAGCCTGTAACCAGGATTTTTTTGCTTGTGGGACATATCTTTTTCTTGTGGGGCAGACACAACATCAAATAAAAATTAAATAACATAAACATGAATTGTTTACTGAAACTCTTCAAACCTGAATTGTATTTGTAGCTTTTCTCTCTCTCTTACACACACACACCCTGTTTTGACCTACCATCAAATGAAAACTGGATGTTTTTGGTTGCTTTAACAAATTAGGATTTACTTGCAGCAGTTCTTCAAACATGAATTGTGGCTCGTCCCCCATGCCCCAACATTTTTGCTTGCTTTTTAAAAAATCATTAATTATTTGCAGCAGTTCTTTAAATATGAATTGTAGCTGCTCACCTCTTGCCTTGAAACTCCCCTTGTTTAACCTAACAGCTGATCAGCAGGGAGTGAAACTGACCAGAAGCTGCAGTGCGGCTTCCCTTTCTTTCCCACCTGGCTGCAGGGCTATGCGCACTGGGGGTGGGGGTGTCTGGAATCCTCAGGTGGTGGGGTAGGTCTCGTGGGTAGTGGGGGTCCACCCCCAAACGCCCCACCATGGCTACGGGCCTGCACTCACCCCAAAGTAGCTTGCCTTGTTTCCGAGAGTGGTTTCTCAAATCCCAACACTGGCACATGCGAGATGAGTCTCACAATATTTTCAACAGCTCCTCAAAATGTTATCCCCGGTTGTACGCACTATGCTGTCCCCTACGTCAAAGAGAATGAAGAAGTCCTTGCACGCACAGCATTCCATCAGGAGCGCCAGAGAACTGGATCAAGCTGCATGACCAAGAGGGACCGGCTTACCAAAGAAGGATCCTCATGTCTGTACAGAGTCACGGCAGGCACCGCCGGGAGACCTAACCAAGGCCCCAGAGTCAAGGTCATGCTGTCCGCTTTGGTTGCTGCCTAGAGAAAGTAAAGAACAGCTGGCTTTTTAAAGGCAACTCTGAATGAAACAATACATAAAATGAGGTTCTAAAATGAGATACAGGCCTTCCCTAAGGAGGCACAGGCACTTGACAGGGAAAATGAAAACGCCTGCCATAAAAAGGATGAAAACAAAAGAGACTCAAAGCGCCTAGAGAAGGTCTTTTTTTCATTTTTATTTTACAGTATTAGTGTCATAATTGAGAGCCAGTGTGGCTAAGTGGGTAAAATGTTGGACTAGGATCTAGGAGACATAGGTTCAAATTCCCACTCTGCCATGGTAGCTTGCTAGGTGACCTTTGGCCAGTCACATGTTCTCAGCCTAACCTACCTCACAGGGTTGTTGGGAGGATAAAATGGAGGCAAAGAGAACAAAGAAAGCCGCTTTGGGTTTCCACTGGAGAAAAAGGCAGGGTATAAACGAAGTGAATAAATACTAAATAAAAACCCATTCCATCTTTTCCATGCATTCTACCATACATAAGCACAATTTATTCAGATTTTTTTTCTAAATATAACATTTCTTCATAATATATAATTCTCTGAAATGTTCCA